CAAGTGTGTTCGGAAAATCACGTCCTGGGTCTAAGTGCCCCTATTTCGACATTAAGAGCTGTAAGTCTGGATTCTCAAGCCAGAGAAGGTTGAGAGCGAGAACAGCAGAGAAGAGACAGAAAGAAACGGAAGGGGAGGAGAGAAGAAGAGAAGGCTGAGCAGGGTAGAGAGGGAAGAGCCTATTCTAGAGATAAATCAGAACATAGAATGGAAAAATCAGGGAGAGTCAATAAAATGCCATATGTCGGAGCCTGGATTGGCATGTAGGCGTGAGACCCTTGCAACTCCAGTAATTACAAATTTGCCAACGGCTTTCTTAATATATTAGACACTGGGAGTAGTTGACATAGAAGCAATGCAACATCTTTTGTCCTATGTCGAGCTCTACAAGTACAAGCTATCATAATATGGCAAACTGAGCTGAAGTTCACAGGCCTTATCTCTGGCCACAGGACCTCAGATACATTGTAGACCCATACCATCTGTGCTTAGGCTCCACTAGGCTCCAAATTACACAACCCTGTGCACATTCACTTCTTATTCATGTCTTAATAACATATTCGCTATTGAATATATTATCATTTAGAATACAATAATTATAAAGGATTTTATGTAGTATCTAATAACAATCCGAGGTTCTTCATATAATGTCTTAGAGGATCTGTCTTCTTAAGTATTGACCTGTGTCATGTATACTTTGGAAACATAACTTGGTGATCTTTATTTAAACATAGTAAATTATGTGAAAATAACTAAAATGGCCCAGGCATGGCGGCCATTTGATCCCAGCACTTGGGAGGCAGAGGCAGGCAGATCTCTATAAGATAGAGGCCAGCCTGGTCTACATAGTGAGTTGCAGGCCAATTGGGGCTATAGGGAAAGCCTGTCTCAAAAAGACAAAAGAAAAAAAAAGGCAAATAAGTACAACAATTTTGGGAAGAAAGAATAACCATACAATTCAGCACAGGATATCTTAATAATTCTCACTAGTGTATACCCAAGAATGTGAGTTATCTCTGTCAATCCACCATGTTAACTAATGCCTCTACAGACAGATGTTTTATTTTAACAGCAAATCCTACAGGGATCCGGGAAATGCTGTGTGTTTAGACTAGCAGGCCTTAGTTGTGGTTACAAAATGACAATGGACAGATAGGCATGAATATTCATCTTTTTAGAAGTAGGAAATACTCTGATCTTACAGAACAGATTGGAGAAATTTCAGCGTGTCAGCTATGAAGCGATCTCCTATAACTAAACAAGATATACATCTTTACAATCATGCACTTACACTTAATGTTTTATTTTTACCATGGAAAATATTTTTATTTATTGTTTCATTTTACCTATACCAATTTTCAATAGCCCATTTCCAAGGTTTCCAAGTACATGAAAATAAAGGCTTTCATTTGGACGGTATTGCAACATCAGAAACAATCTAACATTTCTACAACATGTAGCATCTAATATTTTGTCCTAAGAACACATGTAAAGTATCAAATTGTTCACTAGAACCTGTTAGAACTCTGTAAAAGTAGCAGTAAAAGTCAAGGCATACTTAACTCAGAGTTTCCTATGAAGATTCAAACAGTCTTTTGTTCCAATAATGGAAAGTTAGACAGTAATCCACCTTTATTCTCACAAGATATGTTCTAAGAACCCAGTGATGCCTGAAATCACTGACACGTCTTTAAATACAATGTGGCATTTTCCTTTTTGGTCCATATATATGGTAGTTTAATTTATGTTAGGCACATGATGATATTAAAAACAATAACTAGTAGCAAAATAAAATAATTTCAGCAATGGATAAATTATGTGAATGTGATCTCTCTCCACCTCTCAAATTAGCTCATGAGATGACACCATTCTTTTCTTTTTGATGTGGGATGATACTGTGCTACATGATGAGATGAAAAGATGTAAACGCTGTTGACATTGAGATGAAGAGGTGTGAATGCTGTAGACACTGAGATGTAGCACTAGGCTACTATATACAGGTTGCCTGATAACCAACATGGATTCCAAGTAATGGATGGGCCGGTAGCATATATAGTGTGGATACACTGATCAAAAGGATGATTCGTATTCTAGGTGGGTCAGAGTAGGGTGATCTGAGATTTTATTCTACTTTTCAAAACAGCATATAATTTAAAATGTGCATTATTTATGTCTGGGATTTTCCATCCATTATTCTCTTACTATGGCTGAATGAGAGTTCAGGAAGCAAAACTATTGCTTAGCAGGAACTAGTAACCAAAGAAGACAGGAGTAAGAGAGGTTGATTTCTTGCTTGTGGTACTACAAGTCAGTTTCCTATTATGTTCCTCTAAACTGTAAAATCTCTGTGGGCTTGATGGATGGATCCTTCCCTGCCTCTTTCTAGCTTCTGGTGATTTCTAGCCATCCTTGACATGTTTGGATTCATAGCTGCATGACTGATTTTAACCTCCATCTTGGCACATCCTTCCTCTCTTGCTTTCTGTGTACCTCCAAATCTCTCTCTCCTTATGAGGTTACTAGGCAGTAGCTTTTTAAAAATATTTTATTTATTATTTTTATTTTGTGTGTATTACCTGCATGTACGTAAGTGCACCCATGTCATGCAATGACCACGGAGGACAGAAGAGGGCATCAGATCACCTGGAACTGAAGTTATGGACAGTTATTCATTGCCCTGTGGGTGCTGGGATTTAAACCTGGGTCTTCTGCAAGAACAATCGGTGTAACTGCTAAGCCATCTCTCCAGCCCCACTAGGCAGTAGTTTTAAGGCCTATCTTATCCTGGTAAAAATCTCAACTTCATTGCATCTCACAAAACCCTATAGCTAGGTGAGGTCACACATACAGGTCTCAAGGTTAGGACCTTGATGTGTTCTTTTGGAGGACAGAGTTCAACCCACAATCACCCTGGTGTGGCAAAATTAAATGAGTGTGCCTCCAAAAGATAATTTCTACCTCGCTCTGCTAGAAATGGAATCTTTAATTGCACCAGAAGTTTTTCCTGTTTCGTTCCACCATCAGTGGAGTCACGTGTTTGGTAGAACCCATAGCACTTCTCAGGCACAGCTAGAAACCAAGTGGGCTGTTCCTCATTCCCTGCTTGGCCATTCTTTACCACTTTTGCTGATTCCTCAGGAAAGAATTCTCTCTGTCCATTGAAGATACTGGGACCTTCGTTTGCTGCTCTCACTTACTATACATGACCTGCTGACTTTTCTGAATACCATTCCATAACCCGTTCTAAATACAAGTAATGTTTGAATACATGAAGTAATAACATAGCCTTTCATAAATCACTCCAAATCTGACACTCCTTTATGAACACTTCATGTAATTAATAGGAAAAATCTAAAGAAAAAAAAATGTAATCGAGTAGGTTGACAACCAGTAAAAGATAATTAAAATGATCCTGTTTTGTTTCTCAGTTTCATTAACATGCAAATGAGATTCATGAAGTTCGATATTGTGTTTCAGCAAGAGCCATAGAAACAAATTAAGAATGAAAATGAATCCCACCAATGGAGACTCCTGTTGAGTGCATAAATTAATGAAAACTATGATTGCAACCAATTAATAAAATGTAATTTTTGTGACTTATTAGGCCTCAAAAAGGAAATAAAGATACATAGATAAATATTGGTTCTTTTTTGGTATACAACATTCTGTGAATGCTTTGAAGATTTGAAAGCAGGGCAGGAAACGTTAAATTCTGCTTTACTTTAAAAAGTACAAGGGAGAGACCTTCCTTTCAAGTCAGATTGTTGTAGTAACATCATTCCTGCTGGTAAGGACATAGGTGCAGGGATTCAGAATCTCAAATAGAAAGGGACAGTTCTGAATAATCAAGTGTCTCACCACAAGGAACAGAGAAGCATGGTCAGATTCACTGGCCTCCACATTTCCTACTTGATGCAAAGACCCGTTTTTTCACCCTATTGATATTGAAGCACACGTAAGTGCATACCTCAAATAATGTGAGAGGACATTTTAAAATAAGCTTGAAACCATGTCGAAGGGTTCCACAAACATCTATGTAGTAATTGGAACTGAGTTGCTATATATTGTATATCAAATGACAAAACAGACAGACACACACACAGAGACACACAATCTGTTTGTTATGTTCAAAGTTCAGTATACCCAAACATCAGACACCAGCACCAGGAGTAACAACATCAAGGGATAGATTTTAACATATGGCATGAGAGAAGACACACATGAGCAAAGCTTGTTTAGTAGCATGGAATGTTGAGGTCTATTGTTTCTAGTTGTTGAAATGACTTCTACTTGCCAGTGTACATGCCTCCTATGTCTGTGCAGATATTTTCACCTTAGTAGATTAAAGAAAGTGACCAGAGAGATGCTCTATCATTAAGTACAACGTGTTGTGATACTTTCTCATCTCTACTGCAAGTGGCATTTAACTGTCTTCCCTCCTTCCAACTGATGCAAGCCTGGAAGCCCAGCCTACCTGAGCGACGGTAAACAACACGGACTGAGTATTCCTAAAGGAGCAGGAAAGCTTTATGAAGCTGCTGTTCCTCCACAGCAAAGAAAATCATGTCACCTGCTTTGAGAATTAAACAAACTGAGGGGATTACTATTTTTAAATAAATGGCATCTTTTAAAATTACTCCTTGCAAACTTCTTTAACTTGAAATAGGGAGTCAATTAAATCCCCATCCCTACTGTAGCCATAATGATTGCAAACCATTGCAGAAAACTGTATTTTATAAGATACATACAAACCTTACCAGATTGAAGGAACTAAACTCTTTGGATATTGACATGATGCTATAGGGTTTTCAGATAGAGTTTATTTCTTTGTGATTCCAGAATAGAAACCAGATTCCTACACATCTCCTAACTTATCATCATTGGCTTATTTAGAAATTTACTTCTTTTCAAACTATATCACTTACAATGATTTTATAAAGTATGTGGAAAATTAATGAGATTTATTATGAGCCAATCAGAGTGGGGGAAGGCAGACTTACCATCTCTTCGATTCAGCCTTGCAAACCCAGGACCATGGCTGCTGGAGAGCTCTGAAGAACTACTGAAAGACGCCTGAGGCAAAGCAGACACCAGGGGATCGTCACAGTCATCTGCCAGGAGAGAAACGCCACATTCCAATGAGCACAGAGTTGACAGTTTTCTTCAGATGAACAGACATAACAAATAAACACAACATCAAACACCAGGATCTAAGTCACACATGGCAGCACACGCCTGTAATCCCAGCACTCAGGAGGAAGGGGCAGGAGAATCAGGAGTTCAAGGTCATCTTCAGCTGTAGAGTGAGTTTGAAACCAGCCTGTGCTACATGAAGACCTGTCTCAAAAAATAGTAAATAAATAAATATATAAAAAATAAACTAGGATCTCTAGAACTCACATATACAGTATTCCACAGAAGATCTGGCAAGCTTAAGAAGAAAAGGCAAAGAACTGAAAGACAGAAGATTATAGAAACAGAGAAGGAAAACATGAAATTATGAAATATCTTGGGATCAAAAGAGTATTAAGTTTAAACAAGAAATATTTTTTCATCATGAGTAGAAAGATGTATAAACTTAACTACATTAAAATTAAGAAATTTGAGGGATGGAGAGATGGCTTAATGATTAAGAGAACAGACTGCTCTTGCAGAGGATCCAGGTTTAATTGCCAGCACCCACTTGGCAGCTAACAACTGTCTGTAACTCCAGTTCCAGGGGATATGGCACCCTCTTCTGACCTTCACAGGCACTGCACGACATGGGTGCACTTACATACATGCAGGCAAAACACTCATACATATAAAATAAAAATAATAAATAAACTTTTTTAAATTGGGAAATTGTCTGGGCTTGGTAGCACAAACCTGCAACCCTAGGTACTAGAGAGGCTAAGGCAAAGAATCTCAAGGTCAAAGTCTGGCTGGGCCAAGGCAGAAGGATCTCAAGGTCAAAGCCTGGCCTTGGGGTTGCTGATTAGGCTAGACAGCCTGGGCACCTAGCCCCAGGGATCCATCTGTTTCTGCTCCACACACACACCCCGTACCCCCATACTCCCTCCTCCAGCTCTGGGATTACAAGTGCCGGTCACTGCACTCAGCAATTTTTTTTCCTTTTTTTTTTTTTGTCTTTTTGAGACAGGGTCTCCCTGTAGCCCCAGCAGCCCCAGTTGACCTGGAACTCACTATGTAGACCAGGGTGGATTTGGTCTTACAGAGATCGGCCTGCCTCTGCCTCCTGAATGCTGGGATTAGGTCATGCACCACTACACCCAGCTCTACAGTCTTTTTTACATGGATTCTGGGGATCAAACTCCAGTCCTCATGTTTATGAATCAAATGTATTACAAACCAAACTATCTCCCTGGATCAACATATATTGCTTTTAATATTAAAAGGTAAAGTAAGTGTAAGAGCAAGTATAAGAATAATGTTTGCCTGATATCCATACATGTTTAATTTACTCTATATAATCTTTAAAGTGTTTTACCTTTTCAAATTATGAAGTTATCCCCACTATTGCTTTAATCAGAAAAAAAGTTCAAACTTAGTATTTTACATATAATGGTAGTTTAAAAATATACAGGGTTGTCTCAAATATTTTATTTGACAGTAAGTCATTTTATTTAAGTTAAATTAACTCAAAAATTACCTACCTTCGCCTGAGGTACCTGAAGCTCATTCTACCTGAACGTAACTCACTCTTGAATGACTTTCAGAAGAAGAAGTTGCCTACGATAGCATTTCTATCCTGTGTTCTTTTGGATTTTCTTTGTCTTGTTTCTTTGGGGGCATTCAGGATCAAAATCAGGGCCTCATGCATGTAAGGCTAGCACTCTACCAGCTGAGCTGTATTCCCAGCCCAGCCTTTAGTCTCTTAAGACTGTCTCATTTTCATTTAAAGCTCACTTTTTCTTCTTTGGTACCTTGAATTCTCTAGCTGACTTTTAAGGAAGACAGCACTTGCATGTCTATCGATTGACCTAAGTGCTAACACCAGCCAATCTAGTTGTTAAGTCAAGTATTAAGGAGCGTAGACATTAAAAGATATACAACACAGGGAGCGTTGAAGGGCGGGTGTGATTGTACCCAATTAGCCAAGCAGCAACCAGGATTCTTTGGTACACTGTGGAAACTACAGTGTGTGTTTGCACCGACACCACACACAAGTGCACTGCATGTACATGGGGAGGATGCACATGCATAGGTTCACTAGACCTGCAGTGCTTTTAGGATCGTTATTAGTATGCAGGTGTGTAATGAAAAAGGGTGTTTAACTGCAACTCAAATCAATTATGCAGATTCAAATCGATTTTGTGAATGTAAAATGCGTCTCTGGAGCAGTCACTCTAGAAGGTATATATTTATTACCCATTTGTTTCTGTGAGCTATAAATTGAGAATCAATACTGCTCCACTTTTAGCTTGAAAAGAAAAGAATGGGATTCAAATAAGAGGGGGTGGGGTTTTTTGGTCTTTTTTGTTTTGTTTTGTTTTGTTTTGTTTTTCATTTAATGGGAGAGAGGCATGCCTTATGGGAACCAAATCACGGAAGGTCAGATAGGTGAATTCTGCTGCTGGATCAAGTTCCAGTTGGCCTTGGGGTAGAGCATGGCACTATTATTTACAATGAGCTTATGCATCCCTCTCTATGGTGCTATGAGATTTTTTTAGCAATAGACAATTTTAGTTGTTCTTCTATAACTAATAATAATATGCTACGTGTGCACTCGCCTAAGAACTTGCAATCATTTCACGCATAGTAACTGATCCTTATCCCTCCCCATTGAGGTTTAATATTATAAAATCATCGATGAAGTCACTGAGGCACAAAACTTAGCTTTTTTTCTTGCCTTGCTGTACTAAACTGATGATATTTACCAAGCAAGTTGGGGCAAAAAAAAAAATCCATTATATAAGAATACAGTGATTTACATGATCATTTCTTCAGGTTTGGATGTAGGAATTTCTTGGAATACCATGACACCATGAATAAAGCATCTCTCAAGGAGTGTTTTCTGGAGTTCAAGGTTTTCCATGCTTTTTGTTTATTACCATTCAATCTTTAATAGTCTTGACAGCAAAGGAGGAGGACCTCAGGCAGCAGTAATGAGTCTGAGGTGACCAGAAGAAATATTTCCCTGTGGATATTAATGGAATGGAATTGCAGATCAAGTATTGGTCCCCTGTGAATTTAATTACAGTCAATCAGTTTTCTTAGACTGCACTAGCAAAATGTAGGTTCTGAACTTAGGACACTGAGGGACAACGTTTCAGCTCAAAAGAGTCTCAAGCAGAGGTGACTGCCCCCGCACCTGGAGGTCTCTTAGCAAAGCCTAGAGACACACTGAGCGATGACTAGTTGGAGCGGGATATTCCAGAAGACAGAGGACACTGATTCTGCTCAACATACTGTGATACATGGCATTGTTTCACAGCAAACAGTTTTCCAAATGCCAATGGTGCCGAGGCTGGGGAACATCATTCTAGACTCTGGGGAAAGTAACTCAAAATCTATACTTCTACTGGAGCAATCTCTCAGCTAGAAATAGCTTTCTCTCGCAATTCAGTGATTATACAACTCTAATTTGTAGCTTTTTGCATATGAATAAAGATCATAAAGAATGTGTAGGTGTTTATGCATTGAATTCAGGAGGTGTGGAAATCTGAACTAATAGGCTGCTTTTAGCTCAAAACACAATTGTATTTTTAAAAATTAAGTATGCAGTCAGGTCATTAGTGTCCTAGCCCCTTCACCACAAGGAATGGTCTTGGTAAAAATAAATAAAAAAAAAATTTATGGTCAAATGAAGAGGGCACTCTAGTAGAGCTGCCAAATGTTTGTGGAGACAGAAATCAAAATGGCAACAGGACATAGTGCACTATATTGGATATTTCTATTAAAACAAAAGGTTCTTATTCCTCTGCTTTTCCAAAACTATGACATGTTATTTGGCATTGTTTCATACTCATATTAGGATTTCTGCTTTTACCTTGATATCAATCGGAAGCAGTAAAATGGTGGATTTCAGTCTTTGAGGTAAAAAAAAAAAATCTACGTAGTGATTACATTTAGAGATTTAGTGAATTCTGTAAGGACATCCACACTGGGGAAAAAGTTACCTAACTTAGGTCGAGAGATAGACACACAGAGAGATAGACAACACTATAGCTTTCAGATCAGTATCTTGGAAAAATCACTATTTGCTCTTTACATGGGAGAAAAACATACTTTTGTCATTAAAAAGACAATGACAGATTAGATCTCTGGCAAGTTGCGTGAATGAAAACAAAACAGTCTGTAGCCTCTTGCAAATAAAGAGAAAAGCTGTATTGAAAGTATTTTAATATAGCTCGATAGAAAGTAATTTCCTTTTATTTTGCAAAAGGCTTTAATGCATAATTCTCATAAGTAAGTAAAAGCTGTTCAGTTTTTAATAAAAGTAATTCAATTTTCTTAAGCTGTGTGCACTATTACCTGTATTGAGATAATAGGTGTATATTATTGGGTGCTTATGTTTCAGTGCTTTATAGCTGTTAACTCATTTGATCCTGACAAATACCCCACTCTATACTCTTAGATACTGGGACAATTCTGTCCTGAAAAATACCCTCCCTTCTATGAATAGCTACGGGGACAATTGAGGAGAAAAAAAGGCACAACAGTTAAATAATTTACCCAAAGACCCTTTCGGAATGGGTGAACCCAGGCAGCACAGTACAAGACCTCCTATTCTGGGCCAATGCACTGTTGAATATAGAATTGATAATCTAAAATATACATAACAGAGATCCAGGGAGGATTCTCAGCAGCATGCAGCTTAGCTGATGCTGAATAGCAACCTTCCCTGTTACTTGGAAGACTTGCCAAAATCAGTTCCATGCTTGCTAATGAATCATATTTCCCGTAAGGATATGCACTGGAGATTTCCATGGGAGAGGGAGAGAGGAGGTGGAAGAGGAAAGACACCTAGCTTTAAAACTTGCCAGACACTAGAGATGGAGCTTTCAAAACACTGAAGCTTCTTTCCTTTGAGAAAATGGTTTTTGTAGACCTAGTCCAAATATTCATTGGCAGATCTAGGATTAAGGAATGGCTTCTCTCTCAAGAA